GATCTATAAAAATTTGAAAATTTGACGTCCACCAAGGTCTTCAAGGTCACCTCAATAATTTAAAGGTCAAAACACTGTAACTTAGAAACGACAGTTCCTAAAACTGTGGTGTGTGTTGTCAACATATAGAAAGTACCATACAAAAAATTAAAATATCATGTCACATGACCTCTGCAATATTTGTATTGCAATATTTTCACTGCACTCCAAACTTTTTTACAATACATTTAAAAATAACAAAGAAAACAATGAATATATACAAAATACAATACTATTACTGTTACTATTACAAGTAAATACCTCCCACAGAGTGAGGTGCCCTGACAGAGGTTTGCTCTCTGAGCGCTTCTTTTACATGTTTCCAGTCCTTCACACACTCAAGTCTAATGTGACTATAGAACGATTATTAAAGTCCGATTATTTAGTTCTTAAATTTCTCACAGACTTTCCTCTTGTGTTTCTTTTTCAGCCTGTGAAGAACTATAACGAATGGATGCTCATTTATTTCATCTCCTTCATGGTGATGAGCTTTTTCCTCCTCGACATGTTTATCGGCGTCATGGTGGAGACCTTCCACGTGTGCCAGCAGCAGCAAAAACAATCACTGCAGAGAGGAGGAAACTCACGGGATAAACGTAAAGGTGATGAAAATAAAGCATCGCGAGATACTGAACTCTGAGACTTCCTCTCGATGCACCTATCAGAGTGTAGATGTTGGTGAATGTTTAAATACCTGTACCCTTACATGTGTGCATGTCTCTTCCAGGTAGAGAGGAGAATTATTTCAGGCACTACTCCCTCTTGCGTCGCCGTATCTATGACCTGAGTACCAGCAGATTCCTCGAGTTATTCATGACAGTAGTCGTCTTCATTAATGTCGTGTTGATGGCTTTGGAACACTATAATCAGCCTTTGGTAATGCAAATGCACACACACACCTACACACACACACACACACACATAATCCTTTCAAAAAATGGACATGTATCTATGATCGAAATGCATGTGTGTGTGTTCAGTATGTAGATCAGATGATAGAGTACTCCTTCTATGTGTTCACTGTCCTCCTGGTCCTGGAAATCATGCTAAAGGTTGTGGCGTTTGGCGCACTGAGGTTCATAAAAAACAGGTAACACAGTTATGCCAAGAATTTAACTTACGTGGTTTGTTGGGTTTTGTAAAGGCCTGATTGACAGCATGATGTGTGTGCGTCTTTAGTTGGAATATGCTGGACATCGCTATAGTCTTGGTTTCCTTCATCGTTATCATTTTCACCGAGATGAATATGGAACACCGTCTTCCCATTAATCCCAGCATCCTGAGCGTCACTAGAGTGCTCAGACTAGCACAAGGTACACACACACAAACACACACTTGACAATATGAGATCTTTTTTATTACTAAGGCATTTGTGTGTTCTACACATCTACAAACACTTTGAAGACAACACTTGTTTCCCTTTTCAGTGCTGAAGGCCAAGAAGATCAGAGTTCTGCTGAGAACCATTACTAAGACACTGTCACAGGTAAACACCCAGAATAAACTCACTAAGACCAGCTGATTTTACTTTCCATGCTTAGAAGTCTTTAAAACAAACCAAACGTAGGATATATAAATATATACATTCAAATCTTCAAAGAGGATTTCACAGGCATTTTGGTTCCAGGTTGGAAACCTCTGTCTGCTCTTTATGTTCTTCTTTTTCATCTACGCTGCACTGGGAGTGGAGCTCTTTGGCAACCTCGGTCAGTCAAACTACTATCATAACAGTCACACACACATAAATGTATTGTGCATGATGCAAAGGAACCTGATAGATTATTTATTTTATTTGCACTGTATCTACGTTGTTAAGTAGAAAAACAAGGAAGGGAGATATTTGCGTAACTTGTACAGCAGTTTGGTCAACTGAGGTTGTTAGAAATGTGCTAAACTGAATTATTGCATTTATCAAGGAGGCAGTGCAGAAAAATCACTGTCTGTGTGTGTGTGTGTGTGTTGTCAGAATGCACCCCAGACTATCCGTGTGAAGGCATAAATCAGTACGCTAACTTTAAGAACTTCGGGATGGCGCTGCTCACACTGTACAAAGTGTGCACAGGGGACAACTGGAGTGACATTTTGAAGGTATGCTTGTACTCATTCACCCATGCACACAAACTCTGCACATGTTGTCTTTTAAACAGTGAAGTCCAAAACCTGTATGTAAGGAATAATCAACACTTGAATCTCCAGTCAGGGTTTTATGGTTCATTTATACCTGCTCTGTGTCTCTAAAGGACACATTACGCCCATGCCGTCCCAATGATAAAGCCTGTCCCAGCTACCTGTGGTGGGCCTCGCCAATCTGCTTCGCCACCTTTGTGGTCATGGTTCACTTTGTTCTGGCAAACCTGGTGGTGGCAGCTGTCGTGCAAGCGTTGGAGGAAAGCAAAGAGGTAGTGTTGCTACATGTGAATAGACTTAGAGAGCCCACAAACATGCAGGTATTCAGCAATAAGAAGATCTGGTTTTGAAACCGGGATCACGCTGATAACCAGTTGTTCTCTTTTAAACCTCACTCACAGTATCTCACAGTGGGAAACGATGGCACGTGTCCTGAAACAGATCAGTGTAATAAGCTGAGACAAAGGTGACCTCATTAAGGTTCTGTTTGGACTGGGCTGCTGACTTGTAAACATTCTGGTACATGGAGGCGGTGAAATGCTCTGTCTTACCTAGTATAGAACATAAGTTTGGGTGGAAGTGATATGCCACCAGCTGCTCCACCACTGGGGCCTCAGCAGAACCCAAAACCGCCAGTGGTAACCTCCAGTCCAAAATGAACCTAGATGAGAACTATGTGGTCTAAAGATTATTCCAGTAACACCCCAACTCCTTCATATAAGCTGGAACAGTGGGCATAAGCTGCTCAGCAGGTTCTTGATAAGAGGACATCATTTTCCTGTTATACAGATCCCTTTCCTGCCCCATCATCCTTTGCTGTGAACCAGTTAATAGACAACCTTGCTGGTGCATTTGGTATCTGTCAGCTTTGATGGCAAATCACCACTCAAATGGCAACTGTCACCCTCAGATGAGGGAAAATTGGTTAGTGGGTAGTCATTACAGGAAGTAATAAACATTTACAAATCATTTAAGAAACAATGGAAAAATCAACATTTATTAAGTCAGGACACTGTAAAAGTTGGTGAAAACTCCACGCTAGTAAGTGGAGTTTTGAACCTCTTCTTCTGAGTCATTGAATGCCACTTTGTACATCACACAGCTGCTCAACGTTTATGAGTGACAGCAGCGATGGTGCTTTCTTAAATTATGCAGGGCCCTACCCATTGTTTTCTCATCCACTTAAGTTCAACTTTAATCACCTGGAAAAGAAGAAGTGCAGACTACACCAATTCATCATGGAATTTAAATTAAGTGGATGAGAAAACCATGGGTAGGGCCCTGCATAATTTAAGAAAACGCTGTCAGAGCTGTCACTGAGCGCTGGAAAAAGCATGCTCAGTGCTCCAAAAACACCATTTTTCCCACCACTCAGAAGGAGGCGTTCAAAAAGGCACTCGCTGGCATAAAATATGGTGTTCTGGCGGGGTTTTCCCCGACTTACGGCATCCTGACTTATTAAACTTTTTAAATCATTTCTTAACCAGATGGGTTGTAAAATTGTTGATTTATGGCCTTTTGAAACCTGAAAACACTGACAGCTGTTAAGCATGGTGGTGGTACCATCATGCTCCAGTTCTATATTACTACCAGTGGTTTCAGTACATAAAAAGTAGGTGGAATAATCAAAAAGGGTGACTACCTCAAAAGTCTTCAACTTCACCTCAAGTCAACTGCCAGACAACTGAATTTTGGACACAGGTGTTTAACAGGATGATGATCGTAAACATCAGAAACTACGTTTGAAATAGATAAGGCAGGCTAAGATTAAGCTTCTAGAATGGCCTCAACCCAATAGAACACTTTTGGGATGAATTAGAGCGGAGACTGCGCGCCAGGCCATCACAGATAAAGATTCCCATGAACACACTTCTAAACCTGGTGGAAAGCATTCTCAGAAGAGAAGAAGCTGTTGTAGCTGCAAATGGCAATATAGTGCATGAATGTCTCAGAGCATAGCCTCTATTTTTCAAATATAATAAATCATTACAACACAGGAATCTCTGACGTTAATTATATAGTTCATTTTAAAAAGGTATTTAGTGGCAAACGTGTATAGTATCCTATAATATCTGAAAAAATGCTAATAAAATACCTTGAAAACTGTTTTGTTGTCCATGGATTAATCCTTATTAATTCTGCCACATAATAATAATCTAAACAAATCTTGGATTTCTCACGCTTAAAATGAAATAAAATCTTACACAACAATATTTAAATATTTCAGAAAAGGCCTAAGACTGAATCCTCAGACATCATGCAGCAACCCCAGGAGTCTCCAGGCAAACCCGTCATATCCAGCTCAGCTGGTACCACCGAAGGAGTCCAGTTGTAAATCACTTCATACCTTAGACTTGTTTTTGTTTATACTTCTCTGTTACTGTGAAATTTTCTGATATCCTGTAAATGTTAAAATTTTTATGCCTATGTACTTTTATCTTACTGTAAACATCTTTAACAAAATTCACTTAAATGTTAAGTTACTTTGTTAATAGTTGTTTATATAAACTATAGGTAAACACTATATATAGATAAATACTACAGACATACACACGTTGTTTACAATTAGTAGTATTATAGTAACTACATTACAGGTGTGTTTAAACACCAAGATCCATGATCTTATGCACTCTTTTAAATGATCAAACCTTTAAAATGTAAAGTAATAAACTTCTTATAAAAAGTAGCTGAACTGTCTTTATTCCAAAATTATTTCAAAATGAATTAAGATGATTTCATAGATTTATCACCACACAAACACACACTCATGGTTTACGGTATAAGTGCTTTCACTGTATAATTAAGCAGTGTCTACATCATGGCTCATTCTACTTTAAATGAGGTGTGTAAATGAGTTGAAATTATTAAACACATTGATGACTAATATCACTGAGACAACAAACTGATCCAATCAATAAAAGTCACTTTTGGATCACTGGAGAGTTGGGTACAGATTATTGGTAATAGAACAGTACTGCCCTCTGCTGGTTTGCAGAAGTATGGCAATATTTCTTCTGCATATTCATGCACCAAGTTTGGGGTTTGATTCCTTGTTTTGCAGTTTTTTAGAAAACTTGACAAATGAAGGCTAAAAAAAAGAAAACAAAAGACCAGAAAATCCATTATATTTTTTATGACTCTTGGTCTGAAGAACAGAAAAACCTTTTCATCAACTAATGCATAAAATTCAGAGATTAAATGGTGTCAACTTGACTTAATTTTTTAAACAGAGCAGTACCTAATCTTTAAAAATGCTTCAAAAGTATGTATCACACACTTCTAGGGGCTCCAATGACTGAAGAACATGAAGAACACAGCTTATTGTCTAACTTGTGCATATTTGGAGATGTTTTAAACCCAGACTGCTCGTTAGCTTTCATATAATGGAACATAAAAGTTGCAGTGTAAAACATAACACATTAACATGGAGCTGATGAAGTTAGTGTAACAGCTTTAAAGTCAAACAACTTAGCAGCATGTTTATAAATAAATACTTTTACATAAATACATTAAATAATCTGGAGTCCTAATAAATAATTGGTAATAATTAAAACTCAAAGTGCACATGCATGAAAGCCTGTTGTTAACATGTGAGTCCAAAGACCAAACAGACCAAACACGTGAGTGAGTATGCTGATCACAGGCGCTGCTGCAGCAGGGCAGACATGTGCTGCTTCACCTCTCCTGGATCTGCCAGCGAGCAGTCCAGGACCATGCCCCTGATTCCACTCTTCAACTTAGGAGAAGGAATGATCTACAGCACATGAGATTTTTTTCAACACTTTGTTTTTACAGCTAATAGCTTTTGCAGCTTGGTATCAAAAGCTAAGGTACCTTCACATATATTTTGCATCTCTCCAAAAGAAATTTCCACTTCATTGCAGTCCTCTCACCATCAGTCAAACTGATGAACTCCTCTGTCTGAATCAGATCAAACAGAAAAGGTGATATGGCAAAGCTATCAACCACCGCCATTCATTTACTGGAGGTTCATCTGAGCAATAGCTACAAAATACAGAATATTTACATAATTTTGTAACTGACATCTGAGCCATACAGCACAGGTGTAGGAACACAAGGTTTAGAACTGAGACTGGAGAGGCGTCTTTCTATGAACTGATACTTACTGTGCATCCCAGAGCCTTTTCTGCCACTGGGCTCCTGAGGCTGCAGGCGTGCAGAGTGCCGGTGTGGTCTGTGAAGTCCACCAGGAGATCAAAGCCTGTAGTGGCTGAAACAATCTGATCCTTTCCTGGACATAACTGGTTGGTGCAGCTGTTCAAGTCCTCAGTCACCAGGAATTTGCATTTCGAGCTGAAGCAAAGACAAAGCAATAAGCTGCTCTTTGTTCTTGTTCAAGGAAGTGGCTGTCATGGTTATAGTTAGTAAACAATGTGTGAATTTACCACCGTGTCTTGATGACTTTTGAAACAGACGAGTCGAGGTCAAGCTTGGAGATGAAACTATATGTGATGCCAAATAAAGCCTCGGGATTCTCTTGGGCCTTCTGCATCAGCTGGCTCACTGTGTAAACGTCGGTGATGGACTCTACTGCAGACCAAAACAGCAGCATACATGTGCACCCATCAGCCAATCACATGGCAGCAGCCAAATGCATCTAAGCATGTAGACATGATCAAGACCACGTGCTGAAATTTTAGAAATCATCAGAAAAGGGTGAAGATGACTTCACTGCTCTGTTAGATTCATATGACCAGATCTTGGTCCAATAGAGCACCTTTGAGATGTGGCAGAATAAATCATTCACACCATGCAGGGCTCTAGAGTGCGACTAATTTGGTCGCACCATTTTCAATGTGTTTACGTCTTTTTTGCGCTAGATTCTGAGCTGCAGGTTTTGTCTCTCTCCAACCAAAATTCACCGAGCCAGCAGCAAAAGAAGCAGCAAACTACTCTTCACATTTGATAAATGTTGTCATGAATTCCCTGAAGTCTCACATGTATCAATACTGATAAATGATCAGAATTATAATATTTCTGACTGTCTGAGGCAAAATTGAATCGAATCAGGACTTTGAGAACCAGAATCAAATGGGTTATAGAAATCAGTGATGATACCCAGCCCTAGTGAGTAGCCTAGGCCCGACAGAAGAGGATGTAGCTGTGGGTAATAAGAAAAAAAGAACTATTGATAACTTTTTTGTTAAGTTAAGGCCTGATCGTGTGTTGTGTGTCCCCTCTCCCCTCTCCCCACTGCCTTTCAGCAGCAGGCAGCAGCCTGGTCGTCAGAGGAGGCCGAGATGATGATTAAGTTTAACATTTTCTACAATATTGCCAAAGAGTGCCAAAGCACTTTAAGCACAAGTTTGTTAGTTAATCATTTACAAATGAATATGGTCTGTATGGACTGCAATGTCCCCCCAAAAAAGTGCACATGTAAAACTGCAGTGTTAAGCGATGCGGTTGAAAAATTTGAGTGCGCCTAACTTCAGTGCAACCATGGCAAAAAGTTAGTCTAGAGCCCTGCCATGGATGTGATGCCGGAAAATCTGCAGTAACTGTGTAATGTTGTCATGTCAATATGGACCAAAATCTCTGAGCAACGTTTCCAGCAACAATTACGGTGGTTTTGAAGGAAAATGGGGTTCAACCAAATTACTAGCAAGGTATACTTAATAAACTGTCACAGTCTGCAGTCTTTATACAAAGAAAATCCTGATGTGTTTCCACTGTAAAATAAAGGAGCCAGGATACTGATATACTAAATATTAAATAAAGAAATTCCTCCTCAACAATTTAATCGGTGGGAAAACATGTTTTCGGACTGGTAAGTCATATTTTCTATGTTGTTTAACACATCTAGATGTAACTACCAGGGAATTAAAGCTAAAACTTTTGATCTCACACTCGCATGTCTCAGTGCACGGCAAAATCAAAAATTTATTGGCATCATAGTCTAAATACCTCCTCTGGAAACACTCTTAAAGCCTGAAAATCTTTACACCAGAAGGTCTCTATGTGGACTGAGAAAAAATAAAATAAAATAAACTATTGGTTTTCATTTTCAAGAAGAAAAACAACAGCTAGAAAAACAGCAGCTAGTGTTACTGTGTGGCTTGGTAATGTCCTTTTAATGAGGAGCTGAACTGATTGTGCGACCACTGGTCAGTGATGGAGGTCTAAGCCACAAGTTAGCCGTACTCGTCCGTCGGATCCTGTTAGTTTTGCTCTTTTTAGGGGATTTACCAAAAATGGGGAAAATGACTTTATGATTTGATAATAGCATCTTGCATTCACCTTTTAAACTTTCCTATATGCCCTCTGTAACCAAAAATATAATTATTTAATATAATATAATCTTTTGCTTAAAGATCCAAGACAAAAGCAGGGGAAATAACAGCTTCTGATGCCTCAAATTCAAAGAGTCTTTTACATTTAGATGAGCAGACTGACTTATATGAATATGGGGAAGTCCTGACAGGAACTCATTATAACTTACCAGGGACATCCTCTGGCATGTCATCTTGATCCAGAGCTCCAGACTCTGACACTTCTTTAGCATAACTGAACAGCAGGCTGGCCTCTCGGGTGTCTGAAAACAAATTATGATTGACTCTAGCATGTTTCTCTCCCTGCACAGCAGGAAGGAAAGCTCCATTTCTTTCACTGTCTACCATGACTGATTGGTTAAGTCCAAAACCAGCATTTCAGTCTTGTTTTTGATCAGTTACACCATTTAAATCTCTATCAGAGCCTGTATTTTTGTAAGTGCCGCTGTGATCTCTTACCAGGATTGACAGTGATAATGCTTTTCGAGTTAACGGTTGCCACCATGCTGCTGCGAAAGCTGTCAAAGCTGATCTTCGCGTCGGCTATGAAGAGCACTTGGAATGAAGAAAAACAGTTGAAACAACAGAAAACCATCTTAAACGCAAACACGCGGTTGGATCTCAGGTAACCACCACTGTGTTTGTCTTTGGCACAGTATGCTAATGGGACATGACGGGCAGGAATAACAGTTAAATAAAGATTCATTTCTGCAGCAGAGAAAGAGCAGCAGCCCTCAAACCTACCTGTCTCCCTGGGTATCAGAGGTTGAATGAGCTGAATGGCTTCTCTGTCCCAGCTGTGAGTGAGACAGAGGTCAGGGAGTCACTCAGGGGAGAGCACAGTCAAAAATCAAACACACATGTAGTTCAGAGGGGCAATCTAAGGCGTTGTATCGCTAATGTAAATTTGTGGTCGCTTAAGGAGACACAGCGGTGATACAAAAGGCAGTAAAGATGGAATATGGCACAAAAGCAACAGAAGTAATAAATCTACGTTCATTTTCCAAATTAATAAATGCCTTTGACACACCAGACGAGGGGGAAGGAAGAGACGGAGTCATCAAAGAGCCTCACTTCCAGCCTCTGCCCTCTGCGTCCGTCTGAAGTGGTGAACTGCTTTATGTCTCCGATCTGAAAATGCAAACACGGTCGCTTGAAGTTCCTATCACACTATCTCCCTTTCATGTGACACTGAGATCAGGGCGGGTCTGGCCCGTGTGTGAACTTTGGGGCCATTATGGTGAGCTGGTATGTTCCAAAACCAACAACCATTCACCATGAAACCACACGCACACAAACACAGACACAGTGTAGCCTAATTGACAATTTCTAAGATGTAAATAAAAACTCAACTTATTTGATTGCTCACTCATCACACTCATACACATCAGGGTTCCCACCACAGCGTCTCTCTGACAGGTTATGTGACTTTTCCGTGACTGACTTTAATAATCCAACATCGAGCCACTTTTTAACAACCCTCCCTCTCTTTTCTTGTTAAAGTTGTTTTTCAGCTCAGGAAACTTTTAACAGACTATTTTCCACCATAGTTCAGTTTATGGTAGAGGAAAAAACAAAACAAACACCATCTAATCAATGTGGGAGCAAAGTTGGAAAATACATATTTTACTAACTGAAAACCACCTCTTAAAATATGAATACATTTAATATACTCAAGTTCATATGATTGCAATCTGTTACTTGGCAAAGAATCTACTAAGCACATAAACATGCTATAAATGTTTCTACTGAGCATTTTTTACTTTATTGCATTGTCTTTGGAAATCTAAATTTTTGAGCACACTGGGTCAAACCAGGTCAATAAAAATTTGGTTGATTATTGTTTATTTATTTCCTCTTTAGTGTCAAACTAAGTTTACAAAACCTGTGATGCTACAGAACAAATAAACACAGGCTGTCAGTTCAATGTGAAAATCCTAGTTGATTTTCAGAGAAGTTAACCATCTGACCTTAACCTGGAGGTTGACGTCACTGAGATTTGAGATCATATGAGATTTTTAGTAGATGCACCTATGGCATGAATTTCAAAATCCTGTGTTACCTGGTTCTCGAGTTATCACATTCACAACTTTGGGTGTCTAACAGGTGGCCTTTTACAGCTGAGGAGCAAAAACTATGTTTAGCAGATGAACAGTATCTGAGAATCTAGGAAACAATCCAGCAAAGACTTGACAGAGTATCTGAGAAACGCTTGATCCATCTACAGTTCACTGAAGCCTCATCAGAAATGGTCTCAGTGCAAGTGTCGCTGTCATGAAACAATTCTTAAGGAAGGGAAACATGCAGAAAAGGCTGAGGAATGAAAATTACACAAGAACTGGACTAAAAACCCAACAGGTCTTCTGGAGTGACAAAGACGAATTTGAAATGTCTGGTTCAAATCATCATCAGTAACACTATCAGTCATAGACTGGCCTCTCCAGAGACCCCACCTCAACATTATTAAAGCAGTGTGCGATCATCTTGATGAACAATGGAACAATCGGCAGCCAGTTTTGAAAGTCCTTCCAGAAGCCTGAAGAACTGTTCCTGACTACATAAAGAAAGAAAGCTGCCTAAGAGAGTTCAGTGTTAAAGAATGACGATGAGCAGTGGCACAAAACTTTTGCACGCTAATATAGAAAGAGAGAACGTTTTCTTTCCCACTTAAAGAGTCCTTAAAATGCCATTATGGAAAACTGGGAATGCTTTTGGAAAGGTCATTGCTTATTTGATTGCTGAGAATTTGAATATAAAATAAAAACTACTTCAATAATTAAACTGTAAATATATAGCTGCCAGCATTTGGCCACAAAACAAAATCCAGAAAATTGAGTTCAATAATCAACATTTTATGCCACATTCTGGCCACATTTTTAAAAAATAATCATCTTACAGAGACTTTGAAAGCAGTTTTTTAATCTTTAAATAGTGCAAGCTAAGCTACTGTGAGTAAATTTTCATTTGACATCAGAGTGAAGTTAATCTTGATACATGTCATTTTTCAAGAACTCAAATATTTATTTCCCTAGGTGGTGTAATGTTTATTGTTTTTACTGCACACTGCAGCAGTGTTCTCAGATCTGTCCATGCATGTATAGAAAAGCATTCCTGGAAAAACAGGAAAAAAGACACTAACCTCAGTAAAAGCAGGTGAGGTGGGTTCATGAAAATTTCAGCACAATAAATATGTAAATAAAAAGTCTTTGTGATTAATAGCTTACAGCACTCTAAACAAAACCTTAAGTGTATAAAAGGTGAACTTTTCTCAAACTCCTATGTAACACTGAGCGACTGAAGCCTTAAAGTATCCTACCGATTTTACAGCAGCAAGTATATTTATCACTGAACCATCCAGCTTTTGCCCGTTGGCCACTATGTCTCCCAGAGAGTAGAAATCTCTGGAGTCCTTAACAGGCAGGTGAATCAATGGCAGCAGTCTGTCAATGGTGTCCATATCAGCACACAGACACACCTGGGAATGAGCCTCCGTCACCAGCAGCCTGTAGTGGCTGAGACAGCAGATGCTATCATTACACATTACTCCCTGTTACACCGTGCTTTGCACAGTGTTACATTATGTTTGCCTCACTTGCCATCAGCTACCTAAAAGCACAGTAAGGAGAACATGCTTCTTAGATACCATCTGTCTTAAAATGCTAAATTACCTCGGTGTTGCAGGACAAAATCGATCTCCTTTCTCCAGGTCTTTGGTGGCAACTAAAGGGTTTTCAATTGTGACTGGAAAGGAAGAAAAAGAAGCAGTTCTGTTTCCAAGCATCATTATGTAATTTCTATAGGCAAGAAATACATTAAAAATGTTTCAGTTTATTAAAAAAAAAATTACTTTAATCGCGAAAGAGGACAGTAAAAGAAATCGACACAACTTTGAGAGAGACTTTCTCACCACAGTCCCCAATGTTGAAGCTGCTGGCCAGCCCGTTGACATAGGCATCATTTCCCCAAGTGCTCACGTTGATGAAGAAGTCCGGAGAGTCTTTAACAGTGAAGCCAAAGGTAAATCTGTCCATACCAATATCTGTATTTCAGAAATGGAGGGTTAGTTTAGTGATGCAGTTCAACGGAGAAAAAAGAAACCTAAAAATCACCACCAGGAGAGGGCGCTGGTGTACAAGACACTGAAGTGCAGAGGAGGAATGTTGAAAATAATGATGAAGGTGCACTGATAGAGATACAGCCAGGATACGAACTTTTTCTGTCAGGGAAGCTTTTGACGTCAGTTTTTCCAATGATGATGCCTGCCACTTTCTGGAAAACATTACAAGGACAAGAGTGCATCATACTATTTAATCAAACTCGCTAAAACAAGCCTGAAAATACACTGGGCTACATTAGGGTATAAGCCCTAGGAGAAAAAAGAAAATAAAGGACATGAAGTTTAAAAAAACAAACAAAATCAGTTGAACTCACTGAATGAGAGATGTTGGGATGCAGCTCAGAGATAGCGATATAGGTGTGAGCAGCCATTTTGTTTATTCATAACCTCTGCAGGTCTATAAATAAAAATAATAATAATAATAAACAGAAGTCAGGGACCGGGCTTCAGCTCAACCTCTGCAAGACGGTTTCTACATCAGCTCTGAATACACTAAAACACAGTGAGTAATGTGTAAGAGCTACATACATTTACTAGCTAAATTTAACCTAATGCGGTAATTATATAAGTAGCAAGCTAACACTGGATTCTTTTTAGTCATTTTAACGCTAAATTTGATTCAAACAGACTAATATCACAGTTCTACTGTAGCCTTAATACTAATTAATTTAAGTCTCAGCATGTTTTGTTTTTTTTATCGTTTGCTGTCTGCGGTTTTTACCTGTCTCCAGCAGTTCTCTTGTCACGTGACATAAGATTTTCGCGGTAAAGCTGTTGCACGCGACGGTATAACGGAGCTTTGATGCTGCCTTCATTGTTGCTGGAAATTTCTGCATTAATACAGCTGCGTCTTCAGGCTACAATACACACACAAACGAAAAAAAAAAGACTTAAAAAATACCACGGCTCTCCTTTCATAGTGGCATACATTAGTAAAACGTACAGAACAACTGTTAGTGTGAAGTAGGAGTTTTCTTTATTATTTCATAATAAAGGCTTTATGCCGGTTAAAATCACATAAGACTTTACTGTCATTGTACCACTATCACATGGTCACCGCTATTAGGTTGTGCTAAAAAAAAAAACCCAACCCAATAAATAATCAAATACAAATAATACTAATAATAATAAATATAAAAGTCTTAAATACTGTCATATAAATAATCAAATGCAAACATAAAATATTAAAGGAAACACACACACACACACACACACAAATATATATACATGCAATATTATTCAAGTCTTTTAGCAGCTTCACTTCACTGGTCCCCTACGATGTTGGTGGCCCAGTTTGGGCATTGGGGCTTGAAGATGTCACTAATTGGAGTTGCTGGATCCCAGTGATTTTCTGGGCCTCCTTGGTATTCCTCTGTAGTGCCTTCTGAGTCGGTTCTGAGGTCACCCAACCTTCCTCAGGTTCCTCATGAGATCTAGGCATTGCTGAACATTGCCAGTGACAGCAGAGGCTCGGGATCCTCTGAGAAGGGGACACTGAGGAATTTAAATCCAGAGATACTCTCAACAGCATGGATGTTGACATTTAGTAACTAACTAACTTCTTTTCAACTAAGCATAGCCCAACAATCAACAAAATGCGTACATGCTACTGAACTCCTCATTAGTTCAACTTCTTTATTCAGAAAATACAATATGAATTAAATCTATTTCCCCAATGTAATCATCATTTTACATTCTGATAAAAAACACTGACTGTTACTATAATTTAAGCAAATCATTACTGTTTCACCTTTCTGCACTTTAAACCTACTCTTTCTCAATTCCACTAACTGATCAGTTGCATTAATCTTGATTTCGTAATAACGAACACAAACCAGGCTCTATTCACCTAATGTTTTGTTAGTTGCTGTTTAATGTTGCGCAAGATGAAATCTACAGTTTCAACACGCATTCAGTGTGGTAAACACCGATACACCTGCGCAAACATGCATTGAAACAGCAGTAACAAAGGACACAATGACTGAAAGCTGTCAGTTATGCACACTGAAACACGCACACGTTTTATTTGAGTCATCTGTTTTAGCGTCTTTGTACCTTAGACTTTAATATTAGCTTGATGATCCTACCCAGCTATCATTCACAACATGGGATTTGTGCTCAGACAGCCATGCTGAGATTAATTTGACAGCTTCCTGGTTTGTTTTGATAGCACAAAGCCGTGTTTGACATATGATACTGTCTCATGCACCTAAGCAGGAATCAAAAGGTGTAACAGTAAACCCTCATTCAGCTTCACAGAGCCTTTGCTCATTTCCCGTGTTGACTAATCCTCACAGTCGGATCAGATAACTGATCCCTGTGACTAATGTTGATTTTTCAGACAGTAATGTCTCTGGTGATGTGATTTTATGGCTGCTGCTAGAAAAAAGAAGAAAAAAAAGAGAAGGCGGGGTACAGTAGCAGTCATGTGCGTAATAACAGAGTAAGAAAACAGCTAACACAGGTAGATTATTCCTGAGCAGATAGCCTGATGTGTAACTATCCATCAGTGCATTGATGAGCTTTGTATAATCTTGTGTAATGTTAAACTGAGGTGGTTAAATGCATTGAACTTTTATCTACACAAAAAGGAATTGATTTGCTTTTTGCAGCAGCGGCAGGCTATTCAAATGAAAGAAAATTTCAAATTCTAATTTCATTAGGGTTTTTCTGACTAAACTTGGTGAGTCCATTAATCAAAGCACTGTAAAGTGTCATCAGATAAATCAAGTGAAACTTACTGTTGGTTTGATGAATTATTCATAACGAATTCACCTGTCATCAATCACACGCCGATCAAA